ATGTTTCTAAATCCAGGCTTCTCATTCTTGTTGACTTGATGCAACTCTTGAGCATGAATCTAAATATCATATAAGTTAGGTAATGTATAAGATCGTGAAGCTTTTGAATTCAGAGGATAAATTAACATTTTTTATGCATATATATCAATGTAACTCTTTTTTTGATGCAACTGACTCGGCATGCCGTACAATCCCCTTATCTTTTGTTTTGAATTTTGTAGGAGTCTAATATTACCATGCAAATAAAATGTACTTAAATGTAAGAATAACTTAGATGGATCGTAAAACATTTGAATACTAAAAGGTCCGTAATGGTTTTCAACATACCTCATCATATATGAAAATGAGGTTTGACAGCCACGCAACATACGATCCTATTGCGTCTCCCACCAATGTTGCATCTGAAATATCGCCAGATATAGGTAATAGTGCATCCCCCTCTAAAGAAATATCAATTGATACTTTCAAAAATCCAGCACAGAGCGGTTTATGGTGAAGTACATCTCCCAAAGTGTTATGCACTTTTCCCTTGCCAACCATGCGATAAGTCGGTGACGATAAATAGAGAGGACAAGGTGAAATGTTTAACACCCCAAATTATTGGAATATTTATTTAATTTATTTAAATATGAATATTCATATTTTTGGTGATTTTCGGTGGTTGGTGTGAATATTAGGAATTATGGAGTTTTGAGTTATTTATTTAAATAATAGTATATAATATGAATATATTTTGTATTATTATTAATTTAAATAAATATAAGTTAATTTAAGGGCAAAGTGGACATTTGAGGAGGAGTTAGTGAGGGTGAAATTGGAAAGCCCATTTTAAAGGCCCAAAGTTAGGTTTAACAAAAAAGAATTTTGAGGGAATTAGGATTCATTCTTGTTAGACCGTGAAAAGGGAAGAAATAGAGGCCAGAGTTTTGAGGAAGAGGATTGAGGCAAAGCTTCACGATTTAATGAGTTTATTATGAGGTCATAATAATCAATATGGGAATCAATATATAAAATAGCGTCATTTTCGTATTCAACATCATCATAATCATCAAGGAAATATCAAAAAGCCATAATATCATAAATTACACCGAATTGTCACATAAATGCAAATGCAAGAAGACTCATGCATGTGGTACCAATTCATCAAAGTTTGATGGACACTGGGCCATCAACCCTTCATAGATCCCCATCAATAACATCCGCGTAATGGGACTGAAGCCACAAGAATCAAACACTAGACTGAAGTCCAGAATGCATATGAATGTATGATGCACACGTCAATATCATCCTCATAATAAACTCATTAGATGCATCATCATTCATCAAAATCATCATAATAATTATGTTATCATATAATCATCAAAAAATTATGGAATCAACATCATAACTCATCATCATTACTCATAGGAATCATCATATATATATATATATATATATATATATATATATATATATATATATATATATATATATATATATATATATATATATATATATATATATATATATATATATATATATATATATATATATATATATATATATATATATATATATATATATATATATATATATATATATTTTACTTTTTACAGTGTCAGATTTTTTTAGTCTTCCGAGAAATTCAACACACGAGTTTACTGGAACACTTTCAAAATGACTTCCGGTATACTTCTTTCTCAAACCGTAAGACTTATGCAAAGAGTTCCGGTTTACATAAATTATGTACCGGAAGACTTTATGAAAGACTTCCGGTTTATGTTTTCTCGTGGATGTTCACCGGAACACTTTTCGTAAGAGTTCCGGTACTTGTAAAAAGTGTACCGGAACACTTTTTACAAGTCTTCCGATTCGCATATTTTGCCTACCAGAACTCTTTTCATGAGTCTTCCGGTTTGCATTGTCCTTTTTTTTTAATTTTTTTTTAAATCTTTTTTTATGTAGGTTCAAAAATTCCTTTACAAATATGCGATAAAGATCAGATATGCGTAGATACGTCTGATGTTTTTTCAACTCCTCAAAGATTTGGTACACGAGAAGAGGTAATAAGATGGATTAAAGAGATCGGAATCCGAAATAAAGTTACGGTTATCATCACTCGTTCAGATATTAAAACAGGCAAGAGAGAAAGAAGTAACAAATTAATATTTGGATGTGATAAAGGAGAAAAACACAAAGATATTGATAGTGGAACCCAAAGTGCGACGAAAAAATGTGGATGTCCATTTAGAATCAGATCAATTCCAGCGACTGATGGATCTGGATGGAAGATTGATGTAAAATGTGGAGTTCATAACCATGATTTACCAGATAGATTAAAAGGTCATGCATTTGTTGGTAGGTTGACAGTGGATCAGAAGCAACATGTTGTTGATTTGACAAAGAGAAAGGTTCCACCTAGATATATTTTGCTTTCATTGCAAGAGTAAGATCCAGATAATGTCACTCGGATCACACAAATATACAAGCAGAAGAGTATGATAGGAAAAAAAATATAAGAGGTCCTGGAAGTGAGATACAACATTTGTTTAAGCTTATTGAGGAAGCAGGTTATGTTTATTGGAGTAGAAAAAGAGATGACTCTGAAGTTATTAGAGATATCTTTTGGGCTCATCCAAATTCAGTTAAGTTGTTGAATATTTTTCCTATTATGCTAGTTATGGACAACACTTACAAGACAAACAAATATAGGTAACCTCTGTTTGAAATTGTTGGCATGACATCAACCGAGTTGACTTTTGCTGTCGCATTTGCCTATATTGAGTCTGAGCAGACTGAGACTTTTTGTTGGGTGTTAGATAAGCTTAAATAATTGTTTGTGAAGAAAGAGTTGTGTCCACAAGTGATTTTGACAGATAGAGATCTTGCTTTGATGAAAGCCATTGAAATTATGTTTCCAAGGTCGATCAATATGTTATGTCGATTTCATATTAACAAGAATGTTGGTGCAAAACGGAAACAATATGTGGCTAGTGATATGCAAAAGAAAATTGACGAATTATGGACGGATGTTGTATGGGCTAGTGATGAGGTTGAGTATGATCAAAGGTTGAACCAACTTGAGTAAGCGTGTGTTGATTGTAATGAATTTATTGATTATGTGAAGGACACATGGTTGACACCACATAGACAAATATTTTTTGGAGCATGGATTAATTAAGTGCTACATTTGGGTAACACCACGACTAATCGGTATGTATTTATTTTTAGTATTTCTAAATTGTATATTTCTTTTGAATTTTTTTAAAATATTTTTAATATTTATTAATTTTAGGGTTGAGTCTGCTCATTGGAAGTTAAAGAAAATGTTGGGGAACAGTATTGGTGACATGGTCAAATGTTGGGAGGCTATGAATGATAACTTAAAGTTACAATTGGATAATATTAGAGCTTCCTTTCAAAAGAGTTTTTATGAAGTTGAGCACACCCGCATAAGTTCATTTTACAATAATTTATGTGGTTCAGTGTCTCGAGATGCATTGAGATGCATTGTTGAAGAGTTAAAACGAGTTGATTATGTTGGAACTAACAAGGAAATATGGTGTTGTACTCTTAGAACAACCTACGGATTACCTTGTGCTTGTGAGTTGACAGGATATAGAACTGATGGTATACCGATACCAATAGATGTTGTGCATGTTCATTGGAGAAAACTAAGTATGGAAGTTAAGTTGGACGAAGACGTAGATGATGGATCAGGGGTGAATATGAGTAGTGCAATAGATGAGTTATGGAAAAATTTTAAGTCACTTGATGTTGTTGGGAAAAGGGCATTAAAAAGTAGGGTTTTTGAACTTGCCTTCCCCATAATGACTTCTATGTGTCCACCACCTGAGAAAATAAAAACTAAAGGGGGAGTCAAGAAGAAAGACAAAAAACCAGTAGGATATGATGTTTATAGAGACCCTTCGTATCACGATTATGTTGATCAAGCATCTCAATCTTCACAGATGCAATCTCAACCATCACAAACTTCGAAGAAGTTGAAATTATCACAGTCTTCACAAAAGAAAACTCAAACATCACAAGCTTCGAAGAAGTTGAAAATATCACAATCTTCACGGTCATCTAAGTAGTTCATCATTCAGTTTCCTAATCACATTCGCTCATATATTAATGATGTAGTTAATGTTGTATCAGATGGTAATTGTGGATTTAGAGTCATTGCTTCATTACATGGATTTGGTGAAGATGGTTGGCCAATGGTTCGTCGAGACTTGGGGTTGGAAATAATACATAATGAAAGATCAAGTTTGTATGCCAATTTATTTACTGATCAGTTAGCAGTGGTGAGAGAATCTTTGATGATAGAGGAAGTTGGTCCTCAACCACCACATAAATGGTTAACTCTACCAGATATGGGTTACGTGATAGAGAATCGTTATAATATTGTACTTGTCTATTTAGGAATTGAATGTTGGACTTTCTTCCCTATGACAACTTCATTTTCACCGAATGTAGCAATTTACTGCATTGGTTTTGTAAACAGAAATCATTGGGTTCAGGTACTTAGTTGTTTTTAGATAATGCGATTAACCCTAAGTCTTTTCGTTATTTTTACTTACTATTTTGATTATTTTTTTATTTAGGTAAACATGAAAGAAGGGTTTCCATTGCCACCAGTGACAGTAGATTGAAAGAAGTTTCGTTCTCCAGCAGCAACATCTTGGATGCTAGGATTTGCAGGACGTCTACAACATTGGCAACAACTTACGCCTATATTACCCACGCATTATAAATTATAAATTATGTTACTCATTTTTAATTTCAAAACATGAATAATGAACTATGTTACTCGTTTTTAATTTCAAAACATGAATCGTGAATTATGTTATTCTTTTTTAATTTCAAAACATGAATTGTGAATTATGTTATTTATTTTTTAATTTGTAAACATAAACCAACTAGGTCAAATGAGTCTAAAAGTTAACACATAAACATAAAACAATTAGGTCAAATGAGTCTAAAAGTTAACATATAATCATAAATATAAATATAATTCACTGTGGTCGAGCAATATGTAAAGCTTCGAACAAATCCGCAAACTGTGGGTCATCATCTTCAGCACCAGCCTGCTGAAGATAACGATGAATCAACAAAGACGTACGAGCCCAGCTAGGATCAGATGGTCCTGCTTCATATACAGGAACTGGCATCTCTATTGGCGCATCATGATAGGGTGGCGGTAACAGACGAGGATGCGAGACACGATAATACCACTCAAGATATCCATCATCTGTCTCATATGGGGTGGTGACCGGTGCTGTCGGACGAATCACATTCTGAATGCTCTAATGGTAACTAATCCAGTCAACATCAATATCACCAATCATCGTATGATCAAGAGGTGGATATGGAACATACTGCCTGTATCCAAACTGACGCATATATATGCCAGGCAAGTATAGAACAACAGTGTCACCCCACCTCAGACACCCCCTATATAGACATAGCTCATCAAACTGATGCCATACTCTATGATTCTCGAGTGGGCACCATATGACATCGGCAGGTGTCAGCTCGTCCAGAATAGGTTGCAAGTCATCCACCTTCAAGGCACCTTTCCTATAGGACCATCTCATCGCTCGAGGGAGACCCACGTTACTAGCTGGTATCCAGTTCTCTCCTTTTTTCCAAGCGTTGGAAAATACTCATGAATTCAGCACTGTTACAAAATTAATATGGTTATTAAATTTAAAATAATTAATTATAACATAATAAACTAGATAAATAAAATTAATATACTAGATAAAATTTATTAAAACAAAATATACTAAATTAAAATAAATACCTGTAGGAGAGTCGGATAACCACCAAGCTGCTTACAGCTGAACATGGAAGCATCTCCGAGATATCTATAAAGAGTAACCAACGCAGCTGCTCCCCAACTGTATCCTGATAAGCCATCCAAGTCTATAAACAGTGAGAGGTATCGTGCCTCGACAAGCGTAAACGTCTTGTCCGCAAAAATAGTGGAACCCACTAACATCAGCAAATAAACTCTAGTGGCATAATCCCATCTAGATGCAACTCTATGCTCTACGAACCGATCATATAACCACTCCAACTTATAGTAGGAACCCCTGCAGTCACAGACTTGTTGTTGTGCTACTCTCCATGACACTCCTAAATAATCAACAGCCCACTCAACAGTAAGCGCTTCACTGATATCTTGAGGGCTCCAAAATACTCCCCTGATGGGCAAGTTAAGCAGGCAAGATACGTCATCTAGAGTAATCGTCATCTCACCAAACTACATGTGAAATGAAGATGTCTCTAGATGCCATCTCTCTGCAAATGCGAAAATTAGGTTCGTGTCTATCTTTGTTAAACTCGTTCTCTGGAGTGGAACCCTCTGAATCAACTTCAATCCATGTCCCGCTACCTTTAACTCTTTCTTCGACCCTCTCTTCTGAAAACAATTAAAAGTAAATATATTATAAAATTCAATATTAAAAATTCGAATTCTATTCAATATTAAATAATTTTCGTTTACTTACCTCACCGAACCATATATGTCTAACAACATGATGTTTGTACTTAACTAACAGAGATGTATCATACAGTCCTCCTGGATATCCAACCGGCTCGGATGTTGATGCAGATGCATCAAAATGCTCTTCTTCATCCATTCTCGATGACTCGGCCCGTCCTAGTCCAGGAGGGATCCTACCATCTCTACCTCGTGTGCGCACCACTGACAAAAAAAAATATAATTAAAATTTAAAAATTAAAAAAAAAAATCATGAACCGAAAGTCTTGAGCAAAGACTTCCGATGAATAAAACGTAAAACATGTGTTCCGGAAGATTTAATCCAAGACTTCTGGTGTACAAAAGCAAAAAGTTATGAACTGGAAGACTTGCATTAAGTCTTCCGGTGAAGAAACCAAAAAAAACTACAAACCGTAAGACATACATTAAGTCTTCTGGTGAACAAACCAAAAAATCAACAAACCGGAAGACTTACTCTTGGAGTTCTGGTATGTGTTGATCAAAAAATGTGTTCTGGATGACTTGTTGGAAGAGTTCCGGTTTGTAGTAGGAAAAAGAGAGCTCCGGAAGTGTTGAAATCCAAATGAAGTGAAAGTGAAAATATTTTCAAATTATAAGTATTTAAACAAGGGTATTTTGGAACAATATTTTTTAGTGTAGGGGTGTGGGTATAAGTGTAGGGGTATGGGGTAAAATTTCCACAACTAGATGTACCACTATATCAAAAAATGAGGGAGGAAAATACATTTTAAGCTCACACAAAGTAATAACTATTTCTTTTTGCAATATTGGTAAGATCGCAGGATCGATCACCTTACTACAAATGTACTTGAAGAAAAAACACAATTTAGTTATTGCGCTTCTTACTTTTTATGGAAAAATAGAACATATACCTATTGGTAGAAAATTTTCCATTATAACATGGCAATCATGTGTCTTTAAAATCTTTAACTTAAGATCTTTCATAGACAAAAGTCTTCTAATATCTGAAGATTATCCTTCTGGAACTTTAACTTCACTTAGAAACTTACACAATATTTTTTCTCCTTTCTAGATAGAGTATAAGCAGCAGGGGTAGATATGTTTGTTTTCCTTTCTTCATGGGTCCTAATTAATTTCTTATTCCCATCACTATCAAGTCCTTTCTTGCTTTAAGGTCATCCTTAGACTTTCCTTATATATTGAGTAATATACCAAAAACACTTCCAAATACTTTTTTTTCCCAATATGCATAACACCAAGAAAATGTCTTAGATACAACGACTTCCAATAGGAAAATTCAAAAAAAATTGACCTCTTCTTCCACCCACATTTGAAAAATGTATGTGCAAAAGGCTTGCCAAATTGAGTACTCACATCTTTCACCTTTTCAAAAATTTGATCACCTATCAATGTAGGTGGAGCTCTACCTTGTTCTGGGTTTCCATTGAATACTTTTCTCCACCCACGGTAGTGATGATTAGAATTTAAGAATCTACGATGACCAAGAAAGAAATTCTTCTGACCAAATTCCAATCGCGTCCAATCTGTGTTTTCTTCACAGATAGGACACGCACATTGACCTTTAATGATATACCCTGATAGATTTTGGTATGCTGGAAAACCATCAATTGTGCCAAACAACATCGCTCTCAAATTGAAACTTTCTTTCCTATATCCATCATAAACCTTCACACTGTTCTCCCACAAATTCTTTAAGTCTTCGATTAAAGGTGTCAAGTATACCTCTATGTCATTCCCTGGTTGTTTAGGACCAGAAATTAACATAGATAGCATCATGTACTTACGCTTCATACATAGCCATGAAGGTAGGTTATAAATCATAATAATGACAAGCCATATGGAATGTGAGATACTTTGCAGACCATGCGGGTTCATTCCATCAGTAGATAATGCCAAGCGAAGGTTTCTCGCTTCTTCTCCAAAATCAGGATACTCATTATCAATTTTTATCCATTGTGGTGAATCTGTCGGATGTCGATACTTTCCATCTATAATTCTATTATCTGCATGCCAAGTCAAGTGTTTTGCATCTGTTTCACTATGAAACATACGTCTAAATCTCGGAATTATAGGAAAATACCATAACACTTTTGCTGGGGACAAATTTTTCTTATACCGAGATACACCGCATTTAGGACACTCGATTAATGATGCATATTCATTTCGAAACAAAATGCAATCATTTGGACAAACATGTATCTTATCATAGCTCATGCCAATAGAGCGCAACATTTTTTTGGCTTCATAGGTTCGATTGGGAAGAACATTATCCTCCGGAAGCATCTCTTTCATGAGGGCTAATAACTCTGCGAAACTTTTATCCGACCATCCATTGCCCGCCTTTAAGTTGTACAACTTTAATACCGCAGACAATCTTGTGAAAGTAGTGCAACCTTTATACAACGGTTTCTCTACATTATTTACCAACCTCTCAAACATTTTGGAATAATCCTGAAGATCTTCTTCAAGTGCTTCTGCAATTTCTTCGACTCGATCATAGTCGTATGTATCTGTGTCGTTGTCGTTTGAAGCATAGGTCGTATTATCCTCCGATTCAACATTATTGTTACTTATCTCACCATGTAATGTCCAACATGTATAACTTCGATCAATTACATGCCTCTTTAAATGCGATTCCAACTGAACTGCGTCAATCCGACGCCCATAACAGCAACCTAAGCAAGGACATGTGATCCTACTGAGGTCTTTGGCGTGTTCAACAGCAAACTTAACGAACTTTGATACCCCATTCTCGTACTCTTTTGAAAATCGGTTGGAAGACATCCATTTTTTATCCATACTAATTAAGTAGGCTAAACTAAACTAAGTAAGTTAAAGAACAACAACGAATACCTGTAGCACCTGTAGAGAAATCACCAACTTTTAGAACTACACAATCTTGCTCTTCACAGGTAACCCCTATAACAAATTCACTAAGTTAGTAGTTGTACCTAATATAACCACTTTATCACTTAAGTTCAAGAAATTAATCTACAAAATCACAATATTCAACAAGTAATTCGCGAATATTGAAACATCAACAATATTCAAGAACATCAACAACATTCAACAATTAATTCAAGTTTCCACCAACAACAACATTAACGTATATACAAAATTAACATACAAAATTAATTCATTTACTTTCATCAACATCATTAACATCAACACTAACAACATCAACAACAACATTCTCATTACTTAATTCAAGTTTCCATCAATAACAACATTAACATATATACAAAATTAACTTACAAAATTATTTCATGTTTTCATCTGCAACATCAACATCAACAACAACATTCTCGTTACAACATCATCAACATCAACAACATCAAGAACAACAACAACAACAACATAACATATACATTTACATCAAGGACAAAAAAACTTCAATATTGACATATACATTTACATCAAGAACAAAAAAACTTCAATATTAACTTCATTAAAATAAGTGTCGTATTTTACATTTTCACATACATTAAAATAAAAAAATATAATAAAAAAAATTATTTATTTTAACTTGCTAGTAAGAGATTGTGAAACTTTTGAAACAAAACAATTGTGTTGAGGACAAAGTGAGATGCTAGCTAACGATATTTCATTTTTAAAAATAGTGGAATTTATTTTATTATTTTCATATTTTATATATAAAAAAACTTATATATATATATATATATATATATATATATATATATATATATATATATATATATATATATATATATATATATATATATATATATATATATATATATATATATATATATATATATATATATATATAAGCACTAGAATAGTCTATTATCTCATTATAATAAATAAAATTAACACAAATTTTATAGAATTGATTCAACACGATATACAAATTTATAGTATAAATTAATTCATGGATGCTGAAAATTCTTAAACATACGTTTGGTTTCATTTGTAAAATCACTATAAATTGTAAAAATAACTTTTTTTTAAAAACTTCAATACCTTAAAAATGGTGGAATGGCCGGACAGAGGAGGTGGCGGCGGACAGAGGAAGTATGACGGTCGGCGGAAATGACGAAGAAGGCGGACTGGTCGGACGGACGG